CTCGTCTCAGGCAAGCTGCAGCGCATGCAGCGTCGAGCCGCTCGAAGCTAGTTGAGCAACAAGAACTTATGCGTCCCTCCAGATTTGGGCGCTTTGACCACCGATCATGCACAGAGCTCATTCTCGGAGTGTGGGGCGCAGGAGAATGAGATTATATATTAGGACGGTAGCTACGACAGGACGACAACGACTGAAGGAGCTGCTTACGAGTGCTTCCGGCGACCGAAGAAGGACTCGCGGATCGAGAAGGATTCGCGGCTCGAGCTGCGCGGCGAGTGGCTGGCGTCCGACGACGCAATCGTCGACACCATCGACTCGCGCATGTCGGCCCGCATCGAGTCGGTCGAGCCCGACGACGACCGCGTCCGGCGCTTGTAGACGCACGTGTCTTGGTCGACGCGAATGCCCCACTGGAGGTAGTCGGTGTTGGTCGCGGCTTCGAGGAACTCGTTGAGCTTTTGGATGCGCTCCTGGACGATCTTCTCCGAGAGCGACGCAAAGAGCTGCTTGTTCGGGAGGTCCGGAATGTCCTTGCGGCGGTACCCGTTCTTGGTCTGGAGCGTCGTCGCGAGGTTTCGGAACGTCGAGTAGCGGTGCCACACGTACAGCGTGCCTCGGTTGTTGGTCTCGATCTGGAGCTTGTACTCGACAAACTGCCGGCCTTCGCGAAAGGTAATGCGGCTGTCAACCACCTACGCATTGTGACGCTTGGTAGCTCAATGCGATAGCAGTACCCTGGCCGACATCAACGACACTTCTTCGCTGCGCGCGACCTTGCTCTGCAGTTGCATGAGCTCGCGCTTGAGCCGGTCGTTGTCGTCCTTGAGCTCTGCGTCGGCGTACTCGTGCACGTTTTGAGCGAGTTTGGCCTTGAGCTCCTGGTTCTCCTTCTGAAGGAACTCGTTGAGCGCCATCGCGCCCTCCGCAGCCTCGCGCGCTTCCAGTGCAAGCGCCTCTGCTTGGCCCACACGCGCCAGTAGCTCAGCATGCGAGCTCTTCTCGATAAGCGACTCGTGGTAAGTCGGTCGCGGAGACGCTGGTACTTCGTCTTCGTCGTCTTCCCACGCCATCGTCTACATACGACATAGTCTCTACTGGAGCGTGCTCGTAGTACCTTGGCCGGCGAGGCCGATGCGGCTTGGAGCTTGGCGGCGCGCTCGAGTTGCGCCTGCGCCTCGGCCTCAGCCAAGATCCGAAGTCGCTCGGCCTCCTTGCGCTGGCGCTCAGCAACGAGAAGGACGCGGAATGCGCGACGCTGGACGAGCCCGCGCCACCGCGCTTGTGCACCCAAAACCCCAGTGCGAAGCGCGAGGAATTCACGCCGCGCGCGCACGCCAGCGACATACGCCGTGAGGTGGGCTTGGAGCACGATGACGGCGGCGCGGACTCGGCGGTAGCGGGCGCGGGCTGCGTACATGCGCAGGTTGCGCTGGAGGCAGAGTGCAAAGCTGCGAAGAAGCTCGTTCCGCCGGTCCTCGAGCTGTTGCAAGAGACCGGACGAGAAGTAGACCTTGGTGCGGCCGATCGCAAAGCGCGCGTTGCGAGACGAGGACTCGGAGATGCCGAGGATCTCGAGGAGGCCGTGGACCATGGCCTCGGGCGGCGCCGACCGGAGCTTGGACGGGCAAATGATGGCAAAGCGAGACGTAAACTCCTTGAGCGAGAGGCGGTTCGGGAACGCCGCGCGACTGATGCGAATCGCGGCAATGACGCCGGCGCACCGGAGCTGATCGACGACCATGTGCCGGTCAAACTTGGTCGCGCTCTTGTTGGCGTTGGGCTTGATGCAGCGGACGTACTGCGTCGACGTCTTGGCGATCTGGTCCATGAGCTCGCCGAGCTGCTTGCGGAACGAGCCCGCGATCGTGTTGCCGACGAGGAAGCCCTGGCGGCGCGACGGCGGCTTGGCATTCTTGTCCTTGGAGACGCCGCCCTTGGCGAGCTCAGGGAAGACGTCGCGGATGAACGACGACTGGCTCGACGCGAGGAGCTCCATGAGGTCCGCGGGCAGCGTGTCCTTGTTCTTGTCGAGGAACTTGGTGCCGTCGTACGTCACGTCGCCGGCGTAGTGGAGGATTTTGAACTGCATCGGGTTGGTGCGGATCTTCTCATAGTTCTTGTGGTCCGCGAACGACTCGTTGACCTTGTTGACAAACATGCGGTCGTCGCCCTTGGGCTGGAGACCCGTCTCGTTGAGCATGTCGACGATGCCGAGCTTGCCTTCGATGAGGTCGAGGATCGGCTGGTTGTCCTCGAAGGTCACCAAGTCCAACGGGATGCCCTCTTCAATGTACTCGGCCTGGACGGTCTTGAAGATGTCGCTGTTGAACTTTTGCTGGAGCTTCTCGTTGGCGTAGTTGATGCAGAGCTGCTCAAAGCCGTTGTGGTCAAACGACTCGAAGCCAAAGATGTCGAGGAGACCAATGTGCGACGAGACGTTCTTGGTCGAGCAAATGGCCCGGTTGATGCGCCCGACGAGCCAGTCGAAGAGGCGCGAATAAATACCCTTGGCGAACGCGTCGCGGAGGTCAAAGGCCTGGTCGACCTTGAGCGGGATCGTGAACGTCTCGCCACGCGTCGTCATGGTGCGCTGGCAGAGCGTCTTGGTGAGCGCTTCCGGCGCCGTCTTGAGAAGCGCCGCGACGGCGGCGAGGTTCTCGGACGTTGAGACTTGGCTGCTCTCGGCGTTGACCGCCGTGAACGCGACCTCGCCGAGGTTCAAGATGGCCGAGACGATCTCAAAGATACCGTGCTGCTCGCGGTCGTCGATCCCGATCGTGTCCATGGCATCCTTCGTCTCTTGGAGAAACACCGAGTCGTCCGTGTTGTCGACGCGCGAGCCCGCACCGACCTTGACAAATTTGTAGTCGGCGACGTTGCCCTCGAGGAAGAGCGTCTTCTTGAGCTCCGAGGCCAGCGAAAACACTTGGTAGAAGATGTGGTAGTTGCGCTCGCCCTCGGTCTGGCCCACGACGCGGCTCTTCTCGAGCAAGTACGTCTCGCAGCGCGCGCCAATGAGGTACCCGCTCGTATCAAACTGCAGCTGCGCAAACTTGCCAAAGCGCGAACTGTTGTCGTTGCGCTTCGTCTTGGCGTTACCAAAGGCTTCGAGGAGCGGGTTGGACTTGAGCACTTGGTCGATGACGGTCGAGCCCTTCTCGCCGCCGCCAGAGACGGACGCCAAGTGGTGCATCATGATCTTGACCGTCTCGGTCTTGCCAGCACCCGACTCACCGCTCACGAGGATGCTCTGCTCGATGCGGTGCTTGCGCATGTCGAGGTACGAGGTGGCGGAGAGCGCAAACGGGTGCGGCGCAAGCTCGGCCCGCGGCTGGTTCAAGTACTTTTGGTAGAGGTCCTACAGTACGGGGATGAGTCTGGTCTAGTGCCACTCTTCGCATGCTGCGTACCTCGCCGTAGAGGTCTAGCCACTTGTACGGGTTGACAGCAATGCAGATCTGGCCCGTGTATGTGTACGGGATGCTCTGCGCGTGGCGCAATTGCAGGTTCTTCAGGACCGCCGGCTCGTGCAGGTGGTTGAGCGTGCACATGTCCTCGACGCCGAGCTTCTCAAAGGTGTTGCAGATAGGCATCGCGGTGGCCGAGACCTCGCCCGCGAGCTTGGCGATCTCGCGCACGTCAAAGGTCTTGACGACGCCGTCTTCCGGGTCGTAGTCGTCGCTGTCGGCGATGAGGCGGACGGTGACCGTCGTCTCGGTCGGCTTCTCGACGACCTGGGCCTTCTTCCAGACCTCGTTGTCATGGGGCACCCAGACGAGCGCGCCCATGGACTGCTCACCGAAGGTCGACATCGATGCTGGCGTCGACTGGCTTGATCCCAAGCTGCAATATGCAAGAATGAGACGAATGCCGAGAAGCAGATCAGCCGGGCACGGCTGCAGTCAGTAACAGCGGCGTCTGATTGGCTCGCGTCTTTCCCAATTATCTTAGAAAAGTGCATCGTACCCGGGCGCTCCAGCTGTATCGTGGGTAACACCGTGCGTAATGCACTTGTTTCTGCGAATTACGATCCAAGCTTCCTTTTCCGAGCCGGGATGTTGACGATATTTAAAACAATATTTGTTGTCAAAAGAATAAAAGTGCAGTCCTCTTCATGCAATTTAATGCCACAGGACAATATCTTTTTATAAAAAACACGTGCGCCGCAACGCGCGAAAGATATTAATTATTCATTGGCGGATACGTCTCGGGAACGAAATTTGCAGCGGGAGATGGCGCATGTCGCGCGGCCGCAGCTGCACGCGGACGACGCGAGCACCATGGAGGTCGCTTGGCGCCTGCGCTCGATGGATGGCGCAGGGTACATGGCTCGGACGATGCTGCATGTGCTGGCTTCCATTCGAATCATGTAATGGCGACGCGAGAGTGGCATGCGTGCCTGTCACAACGCGGTACCAGGTACTCGGGAAAGACGCCGAGGCCGTCGACGCGTCGCTTCCACTCGTGCGTCCGCTGACCAGGAAGCTCGTCGTACACTGCGCTGTCTTTGGCCCATGTGCTCAACATGGTCGAGGGCTTGGACCTTCTCGGACGATGACGAGGTTGCGTTGGTCACACTTCCCGCGCTTGCCTTTGCTGCGGGGTGCAGCGAGTCAGGGGCGTGATAGCGCGGGTCGCATCGTCAGGCTCCGTACACACGATGTCGACGGTCGCTACAACTATCAGTTGCGCCTTGCCAGGGTGTACCGGTAGTGGCCGACAAAATTGACCACCCACGCACCGGCCACACAGCAGTGCCACCGCGCCTCTTGGGTGCTTGGGCCCACTTGTCGAGTGGCAACCCGCCCTCGTTGCGGCCGACTCGAAGCCGATGCCGAGTTCGCTGCTGGCTTAAACGCTGCGCAAAAAGTGGTTTGAGAGCCTCGAGCTCGACGATCTAGCTCGCCATCGCCGTCGCTGACGCAAGTGCGCTAGCTCGGTGCATGTCGATCGCCAAAGTAGTCTGGTGTCGTGGACAATGATCGACGTTTTGGCCTGGAATTCGGAAGCCCTGCTACTAGGTTCGCACCTCGAGCCCGCTGCGTGCTTGCGATTACCGTAGCTGCCCACATCCGTGATCCATGTAAGCTCACAGCGTTTACATGACCCCGCAGCGGCAGGTGATTCTCACACCATTGCCCAGAGGCTGACAGTACACATGTAGGCGACTTTACTGCTGTATTGCGCTCGATGCCCCGAGCGTACTTTCGTATATAGAGGGGCCGCCGTCCTCGCCTTCCCTTGGCCTCGACCAACCGGCACAATTCGTGCAGCACCGAGAGCTAACGCTTCGCTCCGGCGTCGCGACCATGGCCAAGGCTGGCGTGCATGGATGTATATGCGTGCTCTACGAACCACTAGCGGACGAACCCTTCTTCCCACGCCGGACTCTCGAGGTCGCCTCCTCGGGCGCTTCCTCGCATAGCCTCCGCACAGGGCCTCGCCAGGCATGGCTTCCTCGCAAGGCCTCGCCAGGCATGGCCTCTTCGCATGGCCTCCGTACATGGGCTCATCCCATGCCCTCCTTCCATCGGCTCCTCGCCGGCCCTCCTCGCAGGGCCTTCTCGCGTCGCCAGTGCTGGGTGGAGCAAAACGCAAATGGCGGCAAGTGGCAAAACCTCTGGAAATGCGTGGGATATCAACTCTGAGAGGTTAACCGGCCGTTTGTGTGGTGCGAGCTCATTCCGGAATTGGCATCGGAAGGATGAGCACGACGCAGTTCTCGTACTCGTCCGCGCGCCTGCGCCGGGTCGAGTACCTCCAGTTCGGGGTCTTCTCGCCCGAGGAGGTCCGCGCCATGAGCGTGACCAAGCAGATCAAGGTCAACGAGCGCATCATCCCCGATGGCATCACGCGGCCCGAGACCTTCATCAATGGCCAGCCGGTCATCGGCGGGATTGGCGACCCGCGCATGGGCACGTGCGACTTCCGCGCGCGCTGCAAGACGTGCGACTGCACGTACAGCGGCAGCGGCGCCAAGGTCAACGACTGCCCGGGCCACTTTGGCCACATTGAGCTCGCGCGGCCCATGTTCCACGTGGGCTTTATCAAGGTCTGCAAGCAGATTCTGAGCTGCATCTGTTTCCACTGCTCCAAAGTGCTCAGCGACGAGCGCGACCACCGATTCCGCGCGGCCATGCGCATCAAGAACGGCCAGCGCCGCCTCAAGGCCGTCTACGAGATTTGCAAAAACAAGTCGATGTGCGAGTACGGCGAGGAAGAGGACATGAAGAAGATGCGCGACGACCTCAACATTGGTCTCCAGGGCGGTCTCCAGAACGAGCACGCGCCCAAGGAAGGCGGCCACGGCGGCTGCGGCGGTCTCCAGCCCAAGTACCGCCAGGTCGGCATCAACCTCCAAGTCGAATTTCCCGAGCAGATGGAAGACGTGCCGGGGTCGGGCGACCGCAAGCAGAACCTCCCCGCTGCCAAGGTGCTCTCGATCTTCAAGAACATCACGGACGAAGGCTGCATCGCGCTCGGCTTTGACCCGAAGTGGGCCCGCCCCGACTGGCTCGTCCTCACGGTCATCCCCGTGCCGCCGCCGCATGTGCGCCCGTCCGTCGCGATTGACGGCCAAGCGCGTGGCGAAGACGATCTGACGCACAACTTGGCGTCGATCGTCAAGGCGAACCTCGCGCTGCTCAACTGCGTCAAGAAGGGCGAGCCGTCGCACATCATCTCGCAGTTTGAGCAGCTCCTGCAGTTCAACCTCTCGACATTTGTCAACAACGAGCAGCCGGGGCTGCCGCAAGCGCAGCAGAAGAGCGGGAAGCCGCTCAAGACGATGCGCCAGCGCCTCCGCGGCAAGGAAGGGCGCATTCGCGGCAACCTCATGGGGAAGCGCGTCGACTTTTCCGCGCGTACGGTCATCACGGCCGACCCCAACTTGGCAATCGACCAAGTCGGCGTGCCGCGCTCGATCGCAATGAACTTGACGGTGCCGGAGCGCGTGACGCCGTTCAACATGAAGCTCATGCACGAGCTCATCGCCAAGGGCCCGCTCGAGCACCCGGGTGCCAAGTACATTATCCGCGAGGACGGCAACCGCATCGATCTGCGCTACATCAAGAGTAAGAGCGACCTCGCGCTCAAGTGCGGCTGGATCGTCGAGCGGCATCTGCGCGACGACGACTACGTGCTCTTCAACCGGCAGCCGAGTTTGCACAAGATGAGTATCATGGCGCATCGCGTCAAGGTGCTCGACTGGTCGACGTTCCGGCTCAATATCTCGGTCACGACGCCGTACAACGCCGACTTTGACGGCGATGAGATGAACTTGCACGTGCCCCAGGTGCGTCTCTCTCCTCCTCTGCAATGTCGATGGGCTCATGCATGCACAGAGCATGACGGCCCGCGCTGAGGCGCAGGAGCTCATGATCGTACACAAGAACATCATTACGCCGCAGCGCAACTCGCCGGTCATGGGTATCGTGCAAGACTCGCTGCTCGGCGTTCAGAAGTTTACAAAGCGCAACATCTTTATCGAGAAGGACCTCGTCATGAACCTCCTCATGTGGGTGGGCACGTGGGATGGCCGCGTCCCGACGCCGGCGATTCTCATCCCGAACAAGAAGCACGTGGGCCAGTACCGCCCGCTCTGGACGGGCAAGCAGATGTTTTCGACGATCTGCCCCAACATCAACTTTATCGCGGTCTGCTCAACGCACCAGTCGGACTCGAACAAGCGCGACTACGACCTGCCGTTCCACCGCAAGGTGAGTCCGCGCGACACGCACGTGATCGTCCAGAACGGCGAGCTCCTCGCCGGTATCATTGACAAGAAGAACATTGGTACGGGCGCCGGCGGCCTCATCCACAACACGGTGCTCGAGCTCGGCCACGACGAGGCCAAGCGGTTCCTTGGTGCGACCCAGCGTCTCGTCAACTGCTGGCTCGTCGCACACTCGTTCACGGTCGGCATTTGCGACACGATCGCCGACGTCAAGACGCTCAAGCAGATTGTCGACATCATCACGAACGCCAAGATCCAAGTGTCGGACCTCGTGCTCTCGGGGCAGAAGGGCAACCTCGAGCTCCAGCCCGGTCGGACGATGATCGAGACGTTTGAGCAGTTTGTCAACAAGGTGCTCAACTCGGCGCGTGATCAGTCGGGTCGCGAGGCCCAGGACTCGCTCGACGAGACCAACAACATCAAGGCGACTGTCACGTCGGGCTCCAAGGGCTCGTACCTCAACATTTCGCAGATTATTGCGTGCGTCGGGCAGCAAAACGTCGAAGGCAAGCGCATTCCGTACGGCTTCAACCACCGCACGCTGCCGCACTACGGCAAGGACGATCTCGGGTAGGTCATTGTCCTCTCTTGAGGATCTCATGGGACAAATTAGGCCCGAGTCGCGAGGCTTTGTCGAAAACTCGTACCTCAAGGGCCTCACGCCGCAAGAATTCTTCTTCCACGCGATGGGTGGTCGTGAAGGTCTCATTGATACGGCCGTCAAGACGGCCGAGACGGGGTACATCCAACGTCGTCTCGTCAAGGCCATGGAGAGCGTCATGTCGCGCTACGACGGCACGGTGCGCAACTCGCAGGGCGAGATCATCCAGTTTTTGTACGGCGAGGACGGCATGGACGCGGTCTGGGTCGAGAAGCAGTCGTTTGACGCGCACAAGCTGCCGCCGGCGCAGTTCAATGCCAAGTACCAGCTCAAGCCGGAGGACCCGCTCTTGGGCTGCGTGCCGCACTGCCCGGAAGAGCTCTACATGGACCCGCTCATCATTTCCGACATCCAGACCAACCCGCACACGCAGCAGCTGCTGCGCGAAGAGTACGCGCAGCTCGGCGTGGACCGGGCCAAGCTCCGGCTCATTCTGGCGTCGCGCGGGCCGGGCCAAGAGTCGGACAACGTGGTGCAAGTGCCGGTCAACATCAAGCGCCTCGTGCAGAACGCGCAGCAGCTCTTTAGCATTTCGACGTTGCAGCCGAGCACGCTGCACCCACGCCACATCATTGAGGGCGTCCGCGAGCTCTGCTCGTCGATCGTGGTCGTCAAGGGCGACGACCCGCTGAGCATGGAAGCGCAGGAGAACGCGACGCTGCTGTTCCAGATCCTCGTGCGCTCGACGCTCGCAGTCAAGCGCGTGCTCCTCGAGTTCCGTCTCAACGACTCGGCGTTCGAGTGGCTCATGGGCGAGATCAAGAGCAAGTTCCTCGCGTCGCTTGTCGCGGCCGGCGAGATGGCGGGCGTCGTCGCCGCGCAGTCGATCGGCGAGCCCGCGACGCAGATGACGCTCAACACGTTCCACTACGCCGGTGTGTCGGCGAAGAACGTGACGCTCGGTGTGCCGCGCCTCAAGGAAATTATCAACATTGCCAAGGACGTCAAGACGCCGTCGATCCAGATCTACCTCAGCGGCGACTACCAGGAGGACGCGGAGAAGGCCAAGTCGCTCCAGGCGCTGCTCGAGTACACGACGCTCATGGACGTGACGGCCAACACGGCCATCTACTATGACCCGGACCCGACGTCGACGGTCGTCGAAGAGGACCAGGAGTTTGTCGCAAGCTACTACGACGTGATTGACGAGGACACGCCGATCGCGCGCTCGCCGTGGCTTCTGCGTATCGAGCTCAACCGCAAGATGATGGCCGACAAGAACCTCGAGATGAAGGAGATTGCGGCGCAGATCGAGTCCGAGTACGGCCAGGATCTGAGCTGCATCTACACGGATGATAACGCCGACAAGCTCGTGCTGCGCATCCGCATCATGAGCGACGAAGAAGACAAGCTGCAGCGGTCGGGCGACTCGAGCGTCGGCCAGGAAGACGACACGTTCCTCAAGCGCGTCGAGCACAACATGCTGACGCAGATGAAGCTGCGCGGTGTGCCCAAGATCAAGAAGGTCTTCATGCGCGAGAACCAAATGACCAAGTGGGACGAGGAGAAGGGCTTTGTCATGAAGAAGGAGTGGATCCTGGATACGGACGGCACGAACCTCCTCGATGTGATCTGCTTTGAGAACATTGACGCGACGCGCACCATCTCGAACGACATTGTCGAGATCATCGAGGTGCTCGGTATCGAGGCCGTGCGCCGCGCGCTGCTCAACGAAATCCGCGCCGTCATTTCGTTCGATGGCGCGTACGTCAATTACCGTCATTTGGCCTGCCTTGCTGACGTCATGACGTTCCGCGGCCACCTCATGGCCGTGACGCGCCACGGTATCAACCGCGTCGACTCGGGCCCGCTCGTGCGCTGCTCCTTTGAGGAGACGGTCGAGATTCTCATGGACGCAGCCATGTTCAGCCAAGGCGACGAGCTGGCGGGCGTGACGGAGAACATTATGCTCGGCCAGCTCGCGCACCTCGGCACGGGCGTCATGGACCTCATCTTGGACGCCAAGAAGCTCGCGGACGCGATCGAGTACGACGCCTCGGAGATGCAGCAGGTCATGCACGGCTTTGCGAAGGAGTGGACGACGCCGGACGTCAACACGCCCATGATGACGCCGTGGGGGCAGACGCCCATGTATGGCACGCCCGGCTACAACACGCCCGGCTTCCAGACGCCCGGCAGCGTGGCGGGGTCGCCGTCGGCCAGCCCCATGGGTGCGTTCTCGCCGTTTGCGCCCTTCTCGCCGTCCAACCCGAGCTCGCCGGGCTACATGGCCAGCCCTGCGTACGTGCCCAACAGCCCCGGCCTCAACCCGACGTCACCCAACTACAGTCCGACGTCGCCGGCGTACTCGCCGACCTCGCCGGCATACTCGCCCACGTCGCCAGCCTACTCGCCCACGTCGCCAGCCTACTCGCCCACGTCGCCAGCCTACTCGCCCACGTCGCCTGCGTACTCGCCCACGTCGCCTGCTTATTCGCCGACCTCGCCTGCTTACTCGCCTACGTCGCCGGCATATTCGCCCACGTCGCCAGCGTACAGTCCGACGTCCCCAGCGTACTCGCCCACGTCGCCTGCCTACAGCCCGACCTCGCCGGCGTACTCGCCAACCTCGCCTGCGTACTCGCCGACCTCGCCTGCTTACTCGCCTACGTCGCCTGCTTACTCGCCGACCTCGCCAGCCTATTCGCCTACGTCGCCTGCCTACAGCCCGACGTCGCCTGCTTACTCGCCCACGTCGCCTGCATACTCGCCGACCTCGCCAGCGTACAGCCCGACGTCGCCGGCCTATTCGCCTACGTCGCCTGCGTACTCGCCCACGTCGCCTGCTTACTCGCCGACGTCCCCGGCCTATTCGCCGACGTCCCCGGCGTACTCGCCCACGTCGCCTGCCTACAGCCCGACGTCGCCAGCGTACAGCCCGACGTCCCCGGCCTATTCGCCCACGTCGCCTGCGTATTCGCCGGCGTCGCCCGAGTACAACCCGACGGAAGGCTACAACCCGACGGACCCCAAGTACAGTCCGACCGAGGATTGAACGTAGAGGCCCGAAGCGTAGCGATGAATAAGTGTGTAATACTGGATGATATGCACGTGGTGCGTCAACAAACTCGAGAATCCTCGTCTCAAACGATGGTCACGAAGTCTATTTTCCACTGACGT